CTGGCTGGAGGCAAGCACTGTTTGTGTGGTTACTGGGGCAGCGGGAGCAGATCCTGAGCACAGGGGTCCGGCCCAGGACAAGAGGTGCGGCAGGAAGGCCCCTTCCTCTTTCGCATCAGAAACAGGCAGGCTAGGTGTGGGGGAGGGACTGAGGCGTTGGGGCCCTTGGAGACAGTGTAGGGGCAGCGTGGCCTGCACTCTAGCCTCAAACTGGAGGCAGCGAGGCCCCTGACCTGAGCCTGATTTTCCCCTCCTGTCCCAACCCTGCAGGTGCCGTGGCCAGGCCACTACCAGAACGTGTCCCCCAGGAACAGAGGGGCAGCCCCCCGCCATGTGGTAGGCAAGCCCCCTTAAGCACAAACACAGGTTCATGGCAGGTCACCCGTGGGAGTGACACGGGTGAGCAAAAGGCCACCGTGTTTTGCCTGGCCATTCACTCCGTCAGCCACTTGGCTGAGAAGTGTCAGCAGGTGGGCACCACACCAAAGTTCTGCCCCCACATTCAGATGCCCGGGTTATGGGTGTCTCTCAGGTTGCAGAGAATAACAAAAAGTAAAAGGCACAGGGTAGGAGGTCTCCAGCGGCAGAAGGCCAGGCCCTGCCCTCGAGGCCCCATCCCCTTAGCGACAATCTGTGTTTGGTAAACACACAGCTCTGCCAGCCCAGGACACACGCCCTCCCGACCTTCCTTTCGGGTCCTTCCGGTTCTGCGGCAGGAAGGGGTGAGGCGCCCCCCAGAGCTCCCACCACCCCCCACCAGCCCTGCAGTCACTGAGGCTAACCTAACCAGGGGTTTCGCCTGGCCACGGCGCAGGCTCCTGGACTAAGACGGGTCACGTCAGAGGCCAGTCCCTCAGCACAGGGACCCTCGGGGCCCTTCGCAGGGGCAGGGCTGTGGGGGAAGCTGGCCGCTGAGGTCAGCGGGGAACCAGGGGTCCGCCTCCTCTGCTGTGTCTTCTGGAGGTGCAACCCAGACCCTGCCCTCCCTCCTGGGGCAGCAGTCCCTGCAGCGCCGAACGACGCTGGCGCCCCCCGGTGGCCAAGCGCTGCGGAGCCTGGGGGAAAGGAAGCCAGCCAGAACCTGGGACTCGGCCAGCCAGGGGCTCCTGGGAGAAAGGGTGTGCAAGTGAGCTCGGGGCGCCCTCTGGGCCCGAAAGCAGGTGAGTTCTCAGAGTGCTCCCTGGACAGAGAACACGAGGCAGCTTGAGAAGGCCCCAGAACAGGCTGAGCCACAGCGAAGGGAGAAGGGGGACAACGGATTAGAACCCAGAACGCAAACGAACCCACAGTCAGGGACGGAGGTTAGGATACAGATAGAGGGGCAGCTGGAGGCAGCAAGGAGGCCAGGAACTGGCCCTCCCCGGAGCTGGCCCCTGCCGACACTAAGGGCTTCTCTTCCCAGAACGAGAGAGGGCTCCCTCTCAGAACTGGGAGATGTTTCGCTGTGGTGCGAGTCCCAGTGAGAG